CTGTCTTCCTGTCATACGAGGTTGGAATGTGCTGTAAAAGGCTGACATGTCGCCACTGCGTTCATACGCCTGGTGAAGGTGGGTATCATAATTCAAGGTAATCTAAGGCCTCTATGTCTGCCTACAAAACCAAAAACAGAGGGAACGCGCTCAGCAGACCTTGGGTTTGGCCCGATTCTGTGAAACAAATATGGCCAGTGCAGAAATAAAAGGAAGATGGGGTATATTAGCATACTCGTGCAACAAAGAACAGCCACTGAACTTATTTGTTCTAATTATTCATCAAAATAATCGCTGTAAACATTTTCTATATACTCGCGGTTGAAATCGATTACATGTCCCCTCGCCCCGGCAGGGTCCGGGAATAGGAACGCCTTTCCCCGAGTACAGGTTGCCTTGCACTAATTCCTAGGAAATGTAAATATTCCCGTGTCTCAGCCCTGTCCAATAATTTACCACCCCCTCTTGTTCCAGTGATCACATCCTCTTCTTCTGAACTGCTTCCTGGAACTCGCATATTCTCTACTATTGACAATCTTAATCCTAATCCTCAGGTTAACCTTTACCCTAACTAAAACCCCGTCCTTCACCTAAATGTCCCTGGAATTTAGCGTAAAATGACCTGCATTACACATGGTCCCTGTTCCCTTGTTCTGCCCGGGACGAGGCCTATAAGTTTTCATTACACTGCCCGCGACAACCCTCATGATCTGACGTTCTGGAGTCCTGGTAACAGCTGTCTAGATCAGGGCATGGTAGGATTTCTTCGGGAGGCGCTCCTATAACAAGTGCCTACACGGGTGTACGGTGATTTGCGTAGGTGCAGGCTCACGCCGCGCCAGCTTCCTGCGCCCGATCCCACCTCCGGTCTTCTCGACTCTGTCTTGGCACCGGGCACATGTGGGTGGGGAAAGAGAGAGTACAGGTGGTGCATTGCACGTCTACTATTAATTAAAACTAATTCACGAGCAAGTAACCGTCCCTGTGCCACCATGCTGTGGCACACACGGTAAACCTCGACGGATACGATGGTCGAACTTTCATGTGGGCTGCGCCCTCGAAGATGCTATAGAAAGTCAGCTGGTGGGTGGCCGTTGGTGCGCCATTTCTTTATGGATACCGCCAGCCTTGTCCCCAAAACGGGTTGCACGAGATCCAGTCGGGAGCCACAACGGTTTACTGTATGTGTTGAAGTGTGACGGGTTAACAGTGCGGAGTCTCTCAATTAAAAGGTCAGGCAAGACCGTTGTTTAGACAGCCCTTACTGAAGCTAAAGAGCGTACACACGATTTAGCACACAATAGCAGCAAGTTTTACCTTCTGCATAGTGCTAGTCATTTTAATTTGATAGCCACGGCACTAAGCGCGAGCATGCGCCAGAACTTTGTCTGACTGCAGCGAATCAACAAATGGTGCAGCGTCGATTGGACTTGCTGGTGCAATATGCGACTCAAACGGCAAACTGACGCCGCATGTTAGGCTTTTAGTAGTTGGCACGCGTAAGTGGCTGACCCGATGACCACGAGCGGATTGCCACGATGGGCTACGCTGATTAAACTGAGTAAGAAGCAGAGGAACATGACTGGCAAAGATAGAGTCTCTGGAATGACCGTTTCTGAATACTAGCCACCATCAGCCAGCCATATATAACCCCAGAAGTTGCAACTCCTGAGGTTGGGCCTTATGCATGACCTGTTGGTTAGAAGTTTAGAACCCTTAACCAACGAGACAGGAGGAGCGTTGTGTTTTCGGTTGCGATTGGGATTATTAACAACAAGCGCGCACCGTTCGCCAGCAGCCTTACAGTGGTTAGTATTATAGGCAGAAGAACAGCACCGAGAAAAACAAGGGAGACTGGAGTTGGGTATGGCTGGACGATGGCGGTCAAGAAGCTAGAAGTTATCATTCCAGGCTGCCTTTTAATGAGTTAGAAGCTTTAGCGTCCCGTCCACCACCGCGTTTACTGTCACTGCAGTTCGCCTGAAAGCTCTGGACAGTCGACTTGTCAAATAGGGGTCAGGGGCTTCTATTTGTATTTCCAGTCCATTAATTCCTCTTTAATGATAAACTGGACGCGTTTGAATCTATCATTCCGAATTACAAGTAATAGGACCATGACTAACTCCTGCCCTCGAAAGAATTTTAGACGACAATGGCTCCTTAGCACCATAGCATGCTAGAAGGCTCAGTCAACGTGAAGCCCGCATTACACAGAGGCGGCACGATACGTCAGCAACCGCACCCCATACTACGCCTAGTCAGTTTGATTTTGGCATGCCTTTGATGCGTGGAGATGTAGAGAGAGAAGGTAGACTGAGCTCTATTTTGCTTGCTTTGTACACCAAAGTCTCCACTGTAAGCAGTCAAATACGCTTCCAATGTATACCGATGATCTAAATGTCCTTAAAATGTGAGCGGGATGATGAGCATCCTTTACAGCAACAACACAACGTACGACTGTCAGTTCACCGCCAAAATTTCCTTTGATAACCTCTACAACGATTGATAGAGTGTATTATGGAATGGATCCGACAAAGCGAAGGTGGCTGGAATGCCCATTCCTGGCTTTTTAGCCGTAACCAGCCAGTTATACCTGATGTCAAGGGTCGGAACTCCCGAGATTCGAACCACGGACATTTGGTCATTGAGTTTACTATCCTACCATTGCAACACGGGCTCGTCACTTTGTCGGTTGAGATCGGGAATATTATGAACATATGTGCTTCGCTGATCTGGTAGAGGAACAAGTAAGTTCCGTATTGCGCAGGAGGTCACAATTAGAACCCGCACAGGCAGTCATGTAGTGGCTATCATGATAGGATGGAATGGATCCGACGAAGCAAAGAGAGACCGGAATGGCTATTTCTGGCTTGTTAGCCGTCATCAGCCAGTTATACCTAATCTCAAGGGTCGGAACCCCCGAGATTCGAACCCGGGACCACTGGTCATGGAGTTTACCATTGTGGTATGTCCGCGTCTGAGAGATACGTGAGCAGTGTGCTCCCCAAACGGGCCAGGTGGCAGATGTGCTGAAAAAACACGGGCGGGGGCAGGTCAGGGCAAGACAGGTGTTATTCGGTTTGCGCTCCTATAACAAATGCCGAACGGGGGGGCACGCGTATGTGCAGGATCATACTGCACCACCCACCCGCGCTCGATCCCGCCTCTGGTCTTCTTGACTTTGTGTTGTTACCGGGCTTGGGCGGTTGAGGGCACGGTAGATGCAACGCAAGTTTGCGTCCACTTAGACCTACTTCACGCATAAATCACCGTCGCTGCACCACCCTGTTCTGAAGTACATGGTGGACCTCATCGAAATCTACGGTCGAACTATCGGGTGCTCAGCGCCGCCATGAACAACGCCGAATGGGACGAATGCTTAATAGGTCAGTGCGGCAAACAATCAAGTGTGCGTGTGTGGGGGCTTCCAGTAACTTATTACTCGTGGGCGTAATATTTCAGAGGGGAGCTAATGCTCATCTAGAGCAATTGTGGACGTAGAGTGAAACTACAATAGTTGGCTTATCTCATTAATTTTAC